TTAGCACACCGAATCTATCAAGAATAGTGTAAATAGAATTCAACATAATCAAGATGAGTTTAAGGAATGTAAGGGTGGCTTAATGTTAGAAGTCTCTTAAGGTAGTTTCCCTCATTCACTGATTAAAGGATTCTTTTTTAAATTATCTCAGTGGGCGCAGAAGAAGCCCTGTTAAAAACGTAACAATTGAGACACGAAGTGAACTTCCTCAGCCTGATTAGGTCATCTACCTCCAGGCTATAGGAAACATCATTATTACAGAAAAACATTTCTTTTAAAGTCAGCAACAGTTTCCCCCACCATCACTACTTTCATCAGTGTTGTGGTAGAGTTTCTACCAAGTGCAGTAACACCGGAAAAAGATGGAAAAACACATAGGACTTAGGTAAAAACAAAACGCTCATTATTCACAGGTGATACAACTACCTACAATAAAGAATCTATAACACACTGAATTAAGAGAGTCTCGTAAAATGTCCAGATATAAAACCAAACTAGCACAATCTATTTCGTTCTGATACACTATCAATAGTTAGAAAATGTAATTTTTAAAGTTAACAGATGTCACACCCATGGGGATGTCTATGATCAAAACTTTAGAAACAAGTGTTGACAAGGATGCAGATAAATTGGAACCCTTATGCATTGCTGGTGGGAATATAAAATGGCACAGGGGTTTTGGAATACAGTTTGGTAGTTCCTCAAAAATTAAATATATAGTTACCGTACGACTCAGAAATTCCACTCCTAGGTATATACCCAAGAGAAATGAAAACACATGTCCACACAAGTACCTGTACTCAAATGCTCATAGCAGCAGTATTCAAAATAGCAAAAAAACAAAACAAAACAACCTAAAGCTCCATCAACTGATACACGGATATACAAAATGTGATATATTCATACAATGGAACATCTAGCCATTAAAAGGAACAACGTACTAATACATGCTACAACATTATGTCTCAGAAATAAGCTTGACCTAACAGCCCACATATTGTATGATCCCATTTATATGATGAAATGCCCAGAATGGACGAATCATAGAGACAGAAAGTAACTTAAAGGAATTAAACTATAAACAATGAATTAAACTATGACTCTATAACTGAAAGATAGCTGGAAAATCCAAGAATACTTGGAGATTAAACATGAATTGGCTAATAGTATTGTACCGGTGTTTAATTTCCTGATCTTGATAAATGTACCGTGGTTATGTAAGAAAATGTGGTTATGTAAGAAAAAATTTCTTTTAAAGATTTTATTTATTTATTTGACAGAGACACAGGGAGAGAGGAAACACAAGCAGGGGGAGCAGGAGAGGGAGAAGTAAGCTTCCCATTGATCAGGGAGCCCAATGTGGGGCTCAACCCCAGGACCCAGTGATCATGATCTGAGCCAAAGCCAGACACTCAACAACTGAGCCACCCAGGTGCCCTGAAAATGTCCTTGCTCTTTTTTTTTTTTTTTTTTTTTTAAGATTTTATTTATTTGACAGAGAGAGAGAGATGACAAGTAGGCAGAAGGGCAGGCAGAGGGGGAGGGGGAAGCAGGCTTCCCGCTGAGCGGAGAGCCTGATGCGGGGCTCGATTCCAGGACCCCAAGACCATGACCTGAGCTGAAGGCAGAGGCTTAACCCACTGAGCCACCCAGGTGCCCCTGTCCTTGCTCTTAAGAAATATACACTACAGGGCGCCTGGGTGGCTCGGTGGGTTAAGCCGCTGCCTTCGGCTCGGGTCGTGATCTCAGGGTCCTGGGATCGAGTCCCGCATCGGGCTCTCTGCTCGGCGGGGAGCCTGCTTCCCTCTCTCTCTCTCTCTCTCTGCCTGCCTCTCTGTCTACTTGTGATCTCTCTCTGTCAAATAAATAAATAAAAAAATCTTAAAAAAAAAAAAAAAAGAAATATACACTACAGTATTTAAGAATATAGGAGTACAGGTTCTGCCATTTACTCTCAAATGATTCAGAAAAATGTATATACAGAGTACTAATGATAATGCAAGAGTGACAAAGAGTCAGTAATTGCTGAATCTGGGTAAAAGCCATTTTACACTTCCTTGTACTATTTCTACTACTTCTCTATAATTTTGAAATTAAATCTAAATAAAAAGTTGCCAAAATAATTACAGAATTTTTTTAAAAAGCTAACAGGGGAACCTGGGTGGCTCAGTTAAGTGTCTCTTTTTATTTTTTTTTTTAAGATTTATTTATTTGACAGAGAGAAATCACAAGTAGCAGAGAGGCAGGCAGAGAGAGGGGGAAGCAGGCTCCCCGCTGAACAGAGAGCCTGATATGGCCTCCATCCCAGGATCCTGGGATCATGACCTGAGCCGAAGGCCGAGGCTCAACCCACTGAGCCACCCAGGCGCCCTAAGCATCCGACTCTTGATTTCGGCTCAGGTTATGATCTCAGGGTCGTTAGGTTAAGCCTCAGGTCAGGCTCCACACTCAGCATGGAGTCTGCTTGAGACTTTCTCTGCCCCCCTCCCTCTGTCTCTCCTCCCACCCGCCTAAAACAAACAAACAAACAAAACTTAAAAAAAAAACAGTTAACAGATGAAATAAAAATATTGAAGAATCTATAGGAGGCAGGCAAATTGTTGTTTATGGAGAAATTCTTTCATCTTTGCCTTATGTTTGCAATTTCTCATAATAAAATGTTGAAGAAAGTTAACAGAAGTTAACATGTGCAGTAATACCAAACTGATTAGGCAGTTTAAAACAAATCTAACAAAAGACTGCAGGCCTTTTATAGAAAAGATTCTAAAACGTTTTTAAGACATTAAAAAAAAATACTTAAGTAAATGGAATGGTATACTTTATGCCTGAAGAGGACAACTCAATGTTGACATGAAGAAGTCAGTTCTATCTGAAAAACTGAAAACAAAACAAAAACAGGGAATGATAAACCCTAACATGAGTTTTGAGACAATTAAAAAGCTCATTCTAAAAGACCTAAGAATAGCCAAGTTACTCCTCCAGAAGAAAAATATGTTAGAGGAGTTGCCACCCAGAAATCAAAGTTTATTTTAAAGCTGCAGTAATTAGTGTCTGTTATATTTGTGCAAGGATATTCTAAGTGACCAGGCAAACAGAATAGAAAACCAGACGTCTGTTTCCCAGCTGTCTTACTCACTTTGAAAATCTCTAGTTACTTTTAATAGTCCTGCACCAGTACCATACTTGTATTAATATTGTTCAGACTCACAAACTGGGTGGTAGGTTCGCAGGTGTTCATTTCATTATTATATTCTATAACTTCTATGTTACAAATATGCTTTTATATGCAGCCAGTATTATTTTAACTATTTTTAAATAAAGGGCAAAAATGTGGCTGGCCTCTAAGAAGCCTCTATCTAGGAATCTGAATGTCATTAGGACATACTTCATTTCAATTTCCTGTGCCTGTTCTTTCTGCATATAGACTATTTTCTCAGGCTGCCTGTCGTCAAAAAGTTCAAATTTGGCTGCAGTGGCTTTGAACTTATAACTAAGCAGTCATGTGACTACTGTGAAAAAAGGTTTTCTTCTGGCAGCTCCAGTTAAAACAGTGCTAGAGAAGGGATGCCTGGGTGGCTCTGGGTTAACCGGCTGCCTTCGGCTCCGGTCATGACCACAAGGTCCTGGGATCGAGTTCCGCATCGGGCTCCTTGCTTGGTGGGGAGCCTCCTTCTCTCCCTCTGCCTGCCATTCTGCCTGCTTGTGCTCTCTCTGTGTGTCTGTCAAATAAATAAATAAAATCTTTAAAAAAACAACAACAACAGTGCTAGAGAAGTATTCCAGCTGGTTAGACTTGCACTTAATACAATACAATACATACTCCTAGACCAATCAGTGTCCCAGGAGAATGGAAGGGTTAGGTCATCGGCCCACCTACAGACAATGGGGAAGGATGCAGGGCCAACAAAATACTCAGCTACCACATGTGACCACTGCAACTCTGAGGCTCATAAGATCAGATGCTGCTGTTACAGAAGCTTTTCTGTGGATAAATCTTACAATAATCTGTCCTTTAATAGTTCCTGAAGTGTTGCCCTGTATTTTCCTATCTTTTTAGTAGCAGAGAACCACTTATGTTCAGGGATTAGCAGAGAACTGAAGGGAGTATATGAATTAAAAATCTGTTTTGTTTTCATGTAGACCATCCTCAAAACTTTCCATTCTTAGAAAACTTAATAAAAATTGCTCACAACTTAGAACCTAAGATAGATTTCAGCATTGGCCCTTGACAGTTTTGTTTTTTTTTTTTTAAGATTTTATTTATTTATTTGGCAGAGAGAGACACAGAGAGAGAGGGAACACAAGCAGGGAGAGTGGGAGAGGGAGAAGCAGGCTTCCTGCCCAGCAGGGAGCCCACTGCGGGGCTCAATCCCAGGATCCTGGAATCATGACCTGAGCTGAAGGTAGACGCTTAACCGACTGAGCCACCCAGGTGCCCCCCTTGAAAATTTTTACATAGTTCTATTTTGTAAAAAGTTTAAGTCCTTGGGGCACCTGGTGGAGTAGTTGTTTGGATATCCAACTCTTGGTTCCCATTGGGGTCGTGATCTTAAGGCTGCGGGATTGAGCCCCGCAAGGGCTAAGTGGGAAGTGTGCTTGAGACTCTCTCTCCCCTTCCCCCCAAAGTAAATAAATATATCTTTAAAAAAAAAAGTATAGATCCTTTTAAGAGAACTTCAAGTAATAGAAGAAAACAAAGATAACAAAAATCACCTGAAATTCCAACTTTGTCTAGCAATAATGGCCATGAACATTTGGCGACCATTCTTCCACAGTCTCCTTAGGCATATACATGCGTGTATGCAGACAGTCTTACACAATTGTTGAGCCACTTGGGAAAGAAAACCTATTCAACATGAATGTTTTATATTTTTATATTTTATATAATAAATACTATATATTCATATATAATATTATAAATATCATATATTTATATTTTAACTATCAAAATGCCTGCTCTCCGAAATCATTTACTGTACTTTTGTTGTTGTTGTTAACAGGTAATGCTACAGATGTGTTACAGGAAGCGGAAGTGCATTATATTTCTCGAAAGATTTGTGGCTCTGAGTGGAGTTATGGGAAAATGATTCCTGACACTTCATTTTGTGCAGGTCATGAAGATGGGATTTTTGATACTTGCAGGGTAAGACCAAATACTTTTCCTTTGAAATCTTTTCTAAAGCCAGAAGGAAACTTCATCAAGGCCTTTGATCACTTTCTGGTGAAGTCTTAATTATCAAGTTTACAAGTACTGAACTCTTTTTTTTCCTTTTTAACTACAGTCCAACAATCCAAATCTTCTTGCTTTCTTGGTTTCATGGTCCACTTTAGACAAAATTTGCTTTGGATTTTTTTTTATTACTACCTTTATTGAGGTATAATTTACATATATGCAATTCACCCATTTAACGTGTACAACTCAATGGTTCTATAGTAAATTTATAGATCAGTGCAACCATCATCATAATCTAATTTCAGAACACTTTTATCACCCCAAAAAGAGGCCTCTACCCATTACAAATCACTCTCCATTCTCCTCCCACCTACCCCTAGACCTAGCCAATCACTAATCCCTATAGATGTGCCTATCCTGGAAATTTCGTATGAATAGAATCATTCAACGCGTGGTCTTTTGTGATTGCTCCTTTCACTTAACATGTTTCCCAGGTTCACCCATATTGTAGCATGTATTGATACTTTATTCATTTTATTGCCAGATAATATTCCATTGTATGGATGTGCTTCATTTTATCCATTCATAGCTGATGGATATTGGAGCTATTTCCACTTTTTGGCTATTATGAATAATGTCGCTATACACTCTTGAGTATACATTTTTTATGTGTAAGTGCGTTCTTGTTTCTCTTGGAAGTTCCACCTGGGACTGGAATTGCTGGGTCCATGTTGAACATTTTGAAGAACTGCAAAACTCTATTCCAGAGCAGCCACACTATTCCACATTCCTACCAGCAGTATGAAGGCTTCAATGTCTCCACATACTTGTCTGCACTTGTCTTCTTGATCACAGCCATCCTTGCGGGTATGAGGTGGTGCTTCATCGTGGCTTTAATTTGTGTTTCCACGGTGACTAATGATGTGGATCATTTTTTCATGTAATTATGGGCCAGCCATTTGTAGATCTTTGGACAAATGTCTATTCAGATTCTTTGCCCATTTTTAAATTATCTTTTTATTATTGAGTCATAAGCATCTTTTTATATATTCTAGATACCAGTCCCTTACCAGATATGTGGTTAGCAAATATTTTCTCCCATTCTGTGGTCTCTCTTTTCATTTCCCTGATGTTACTATTTGTAGCATAGAAGCTTTTTCATTTTTATGAAGTCAATTTATCTATTTTTTTGGTTTTGTCTCTTGTGCTTTTTGAATCTTTATTTCTCTTGTCTTCACTACTTCTAAATATATCAGCACTTCATTCCTGAGCAGTGCCCCATCCTCGAACCTTGTCCTACTCATTCTGGTTTCTGTAATCCAGGGTTTATCTTCCCAGTGTCCTTTTCCTTAAAAATTTCACTGAGTAGGGGCTCCTGGGTTGCTTAGTGCGTTAAGCCTCTGCCTTTGGCTCAGGTCATGATCTCAGGGTCCTGGGATCGAGCCCTGCGTCAGGCTCTCTGCTCAGTGGGGAACCTGCTTCCTTCTCTCTCTCTCTGCCTGACTCTCTGCCTACTTGTGATCTCTCTGTCAAATAAATAAAATCTTTAAAAAACTAAAAAAAATTTCTCTGAGTAAAACAGCAGAGAATCTCATCTAATTGAATTGCCTTCATAAGCAAAATTTCCTCATTATCCAAAAATACAATGCCTACCTTCTACAGAGAACTGAAAACACCTTAGAAATACAGTCTTTAATCTTTGGTGCTGAAACCGCTATCTCAGCATCCTTGATGTTTTCGGTGATTAACAGTCCTCAGCGATAGTGTCTGGCGCCTTGACAGCCCGTGCAGAAACCAGGACAGAATCTGTGATTTGTAGTAGAACTGAGAGCCTTAGCCATTTATTCCTGTTACCCTGCACCAGCCAACGTGAACACGTAGAAAGACGGCACCTCTTATAAGCCGCCAGTTTCCTCCTCTCCTCTAGTTAGCCAACCACGCACGCACCTTAAAGACTCTTTTACCCATCTTAAAGTTACACTTCTCCCACTCAGCATTAAGTGATAGAAGTATTCTACTGGTAGTTACAGTATTTTGCACATTATTTCCTAAATTATATTTCTCCCGAGTAATTGTACTAAAAAAAAGTCCAAACAATGTGATTTGTACAATTCTGGTTCAAAACCATGCAGACAGGAAGTTAATTCACCAGCTTTAGGGCTCCTCTAAATATCAGGCCAGACTGAAATCCTCCTGCCTGAGTTGGAATATAAGACTCAAAACCTATGGATCTTTATAACTTGAAGGTATATTAAAGATGTATATTCATATAAATGTATGGTTAATGTGATTAATTTATTCCAGTTTTGCTGTCATATAAAGACTACTAGAAGCAACTAACACTATTTTGGGACTTTTTTAATAGGGTGATAGTGGTGGACCGTTAATGTGCTACTTACCAGAACATAAACGATTTTTTGTAATGGGAATTACCAGTTACGGATATGGCTGTGGTCGAAAAAATTTTCCTGGTGTCTATTGTGGGCCATCCTTCTACCAAAAGTGGCTGACAGATCACCTCTACCAGGCAAGCAATAAAGGCATATTTAACATAAATATTCTACTTGGACAGGTCCTTGTAGCCTCAGGTTCTGTTGTTTTACTAGCAATTCCATAATGAAATTCTGAAGAATCTTTATTTTGCATTGTGTCCCTCTCCATGTACTATATAGTGAATATCACTTATGCTTTTGGCAAGTAATTGCCCATTTTACAGTTCTCATGTGAATATTTTTGGAACAAAAGGATTGTGACATATTAAATATGTAATTATAAATTTGGCACTGAATCACATGCTTCTTTGATGTATTCTGATTATTTTTTTATGTTATAATCATAATTTCACATTTGGAATACTTTCCTAGAGTTTGTATAGCATTTTCAGTTATTAGATAGATACTTTATGTATATAAATGTCACATAATAAATAGTTTATAATTAAAATGAAAGCTGTTCTTTTGTTAAATTAATCAAAACCATTTCCTTTTAAGTTAGATTTTATTTAAAGCCATTTATTTGATATATATTTTTTAATTATCATCTTGGTTCTGGTTCTAAGGTATACTTGGAGAAAGTATTTGCCTATTTTTAAAATTCTAATTGAAACAATTTTTAAAATATTAATACTTCCCTCCTTAGGCCAAAAAAGAATGATGATTTAGACAACCCCATATAATTTATTTCTTATTTAAAAATTTATAATGTGACTTTCTTAGAGCTTTTACCTACTTTCTAAACCTATTTTCTTGAATCCTGTGCTTAAATTTTGTATTCCTCAGGCTCTCTGAATTGTGAGGGAAGGTGGCTAAAATGCTGCTGGGTAAAAGGGAATCCAACCTGGGCTAAACTTTATGATGACTAACCTATAAATTAAATTATTAAAACAAAAGAACAAGCTGATTGAATTAGTATCTACTATTAATAAATTCACTACTCCTTTGAACTTTGGGAACCCATTTTCTCATTTCTTTTCTCATCCTTTCTTTTTTTTTAAATTTATTTATTTGACAGAAAGAGAGATCATAAGTATGCAGAGAGGCAGGCAGAGAGAGAGGGGGAAGCAGGCTCCCTGCTGAGCAGAGAGCCCCATGCGGGGCTCCATCCCAGGACCCTAAGATCATGACCTGAGCCAAAGGCAGAGGCTTAACCCACTGAGTCACCCAGGTGCCCCTCATCCTTGTTTTTATATTCAACTAGCTAAGAGGCATCTGGGTGGCTCCACTGGTTATATTCAACTAGCTAAAATCGAGCATTTTGTTTTTGTTGTTGTCCTTTTGTTTTGCTTTAACCCAATTTCAAGGTTTAATTGAAAGTAAACATGAGGGGCGCTTGGGTGGCTCAGTGGGTTAAGCCTCTGCTTTCGGCTCAGGTCAGATCTCAGAGTCATGGGATCAAGCCCCACATCAGGCTCTCTGCTCAGCAGGGAGCCTGCTTCCCCCGCGGGCCCCCCCTACCTGCCTGCCTCTCCGCCTACTTGTGCTCTCTTTCTGTCAAATAAATAAATAAAATCTTAAAAAAAAAAAAAAAGGAAAGTAAACATGAGTTTTCCCTCTATTAATTCTCTTGGCAGGGGTACCTGGATAGCTCAGTCGGTTAAGCATCCAACTCTTGATTTTGGCTCAGGTCATAATCTCAGGGTCGTGAGACTGAGTTCCGCATTGGGCTCCACGCTGGATGTGGAGGCTGCTTGAGAGTCTTTCTTTCCCTCTCCCTTGGTCTCTCCCCTCCCTATTTGTGCTCACGGGCACGTGCACACACACAGCTAAGTTCGTGCGCTCTCTCTCCCTCAAAAAAAAAAAAAAAAAAAGGGGCGCCTGGGTGGCTCAGTGGGTTAGGCCGCTGCCTTCGGCTCGGGTCATGATCTCAGGGTCCTGGGATCGAGCCCCACATCGGGCTCCCTGCTCAGCAGGAAGCCTGCTATCCCTTCCTCTCTCTCTGCCTGCCTCTCTGCCTACTTGTGATCTCTCTCTGTCAAATAAGTAAATAAAATCTTTAAAAAAAAAAAAAAAATTCTCTTAGGGATCACTACTGGTTTAATGCTCAGGAGGTAGAAGACTGTGATTTTTTTTTAAAAGATTTTATTTATTTATTTGACAGAGAGAGATCACAAGTAGACAAAGAGGCAGGCGGAGAGGGAGAGAGGGAAGCAGGCTCCCTGCTGAGCAAAGAGCCCGATGCGGGACTCAATCCCAGGACCCTGAGATCATGACCTGAGCCGAAGGCAGCGGCTTAACCCACTGAGCCACCCAGGCACCCCAAAGACTGTGATTTTTACAGGCTTATAAGCAACACCGCTGGGATACTGAGACCCAGGTTATCCATTAACAAGGTCTTATAAGGAATTACTTGGTAATGCTTGCATAGCAATCAGCATAATGTGTTAGTTTTTTCCTATTTATACCACCTGAGTACCATTGAGATTCACTTGATACCCCTGAATGTTAATATTAAGGAACTCTTCTAAAATATATTGGCAGCAAGCTCTTGTTTTTCACTTCAAAAAGAATATCTTAATTACTCTTTAGGTATGTATTTCTAATTAGGCAGGAATTACTACAAGCACTTTCTTATCTTTTGCCCAGCTTGGATCACTTAAGGCAACTGGAATTCAGTTATATAACATTTCCCACCACCAAAAGAGACTATTAGAGTACAGACTGCAATTTTATTTTTATTTATTTATTTATTTATTTAAATTTTTTTTTTTTAAGATTTTACTTATTTATTTGTCAGAGAGAGAGAAGGAGAGAGAGCAAGCACAGGCAGACAGAATGGCAGGCAGAGGCAGAGGGAGAAGCAGGCTCCCCACCGAGCAAGGAGCCCGATGTGGGACTCGATCCCAGGACGCTGGGATCATGACCTGAGCCGAAGGCAGCTGCCCAACCAACTGAGCCACCCAGGCGTCCCTATTTATTTTTATTTATATTTTTATATATTATATATATTACATATCATATATATTTCATATTATTTATATTTATTTATATTATTTACTTGTTTTTTATTTATTTCATTTTAATTAATTTAATTTTTTAATTTTTTTAGTATATTTGACACACAGTAACAAAATGGCAATAAATACGTACTTATCAATAATTACTTTAAATGGACTAAATTACTTAAAATGGACTTAAATTACTAAAATGGACTAAATTCTCCAATAAAAAGACATAGGGTGACTGCTGGATTAAAAAAAGAAAAGACGCACCTTTACGGAACCCATAAGAGACTCATTTCAGACCAAAAGGCACAAAATTGAAAGGCTGGAAAAACATACACCATACAAACGGAAGGAAGAAAAAAAAGGCTGGGGTAGAAATACTTATAACAAACAAAACAGACTTCAAAACAGACCGTGGATGCAAAAACCCTCACAAAATATCAGCAAACTGAATTCAACAATATATTAAAAAGAGTCATTTACCACAATCAAGTAGAATTTATTCCAGAGATGCAAGGATGTTGAGTGTTTGCAAAGCAATCAGCATGATATATCACATTAACAAAAGAAATGATAAAAACCATATTATCATCTCAACAAGTGCCAGAGTATTTTACAAAATACAATATCCATTCATGTTAAAAAAAACAAAAACTCTCAACAAAGTGGATTTAGAGGGAACATACCTCAACATAATAAAGGGCATATATGACAAACCAAGAGCTAACATCATACTCAGTACTGAAAAACTGAGCTTTTTCTCTTATATTGGGAACAAGACAAAGATGTCTACTCTTGCCACTTTTATTCAATATGGTACTGAAACAAGTTGGATACTTGTCCCAGACAAGAAAAAGAAATAAAAGGCATTCAAATTGGTAAGGAAGAAGTAAAACTATCACTATTTGCAGGTGACATGACATCATATAAGAAAAACCTGAAGTCTCCACCAAAAAACTACTAGAACTAATTGAACTTAATAAAGCTGCAAAATATAAAATTAATATGTAGAATTTGCTGCATTGCTCTACACTTAAAATGAAGTAGTGGAAAGGGAAATTATGAAAACCATCACAGAACTGCACCCCAAACAATAAAATACCTAGGAATACACTTCACTAAGGAGGTGAAAGACCTGTGCTCTGAAAATTATAAAACACTGATGAAGACAATACAAATAAATGGGAAGATATACCATGCTGTGGATTAGTGTGCACTAATTAATATTGTTAAAATGTCTATATTACCCAAAGCAATCTACACATCCAATGCAATCCCTGTCAAAATACCAAGAGCATTTTTCATAGAACTAGAACAAATAATCCTAAAATCTACATGGAACCAAAAAACACCCTGAATAGCCAAATCAATCTTGAGAAAGAAGAACAAAGATGAAGGTATCACACTCCCAGACTTCAAACTGTACTACAAAGCTATAGTAGTCAAAATCGACACATAAATCAATAGAATAGAAATCCCAGAAATAAACCCGTGGTTATATGGTCATTTAAAAAGAGGCAAGAACATACCATGGGGCAAAAGACAGTCTCTTCAGTAAATGGTGTTAGGAAAACATATGCAAAGGTAGCATATATGCAAAAAAAAAAAAAAAAAATCAAAAGAATGATACTGGACCACTTTCTTATACCACAGAAAAAAACAAACTCAAAAGTCAATTAAAGACATAAATGCAAGACCTGAAACCATAAAAATCTTAAAAGAAAATACGGGCAGTAAGTTCGTGGACACTGGTTTTATTTTTTTTTTAATATTTTATTTGTTTATTTGTCAGAAAGAAAGAGAGTACAAGCAGGGGGAATGGCAGGCAGAGGGAGAAGGAGGCTCCCCACTAAGCAAGGAGCCTGATGAGGGACTCAATCCCAGGACCCTGGGACTGAGCTGAAGGCAGATGCCTAACCAATTGAGCCACCCAGGCAAACCTGGATGTTGATTTTAGCAACTTTTTTTTTTTTTTTATCTGCCTCTTCAGGCAAGGGCAACAAAACCAAAAATAAACAATTAGGACTACATCAAACTAAAAAGATTCTGCAAAGTAAAGGAAACCTTCAACAAAATGAAAAAGCAACCTACTGAATTGAAGAAGGTATTTGTAAAGTATATATTCAATAAGAAGTAAATATCCAAAATATACAAAGAACTCATGCAACACCCAGAAAACACGATGAATACGATGTGATTTAAAAAGGGTCAGGGAGGGCACCTGTGCGGCTCAGTGGGTTAAGCCTCTGCCTTCAGCTCGGG